CTCTCTCTCTCTCTCTCTCTCTCTCTCTCTCTCTCTCTCTCTCTCTCTCTCTCTCTCTCTCCTCCTCCTCCTCCTCCTCCTCCTCACTGTTCAGATTTCCCACTGGCTTTACTCTGCCAAGCCATTGACAAAAATAGCTTTTTTCATCAACCAATAAAAGCAACACATATACAGAAGGACACCCCACATCAATTGTAACTTCATGGATTTGTATGTGTCACCATTTTAAAACATGCTCAGATTGCTCAAGTTATTTCAGATGGACTTCTAGATCCTTCGGATGTGACTCTAGTGGTTAATTATTATGTTTTTCCAGTGTAATGACTGTGCCAGGATCATTCTACTATTAATTTAGATTCATCCATTTCACTCAAGATCAGATTGTTTTTAATGGGAATGATACTTAGAAACCACAGTTGGATTTAAAAATGACTGCTTGCTATTGAGCCATGTTGGTAATTGTTTCTTAGAAATGTATTTGTGTTATTAGAAAACATACATACAGATTTATACATCTAATTCAGAAACATAATTTAAAAATTTTTGTTTAACTTCTTGGTTTTTGTTGTTTTTATCACCTAAAGTTTTTTTGTTGCTATTAGTTGTGAGACAAAGTCTCATACTGTAGCCCCAACTGGGCTTGAAATCGTAGTCATCCTGCCTCAGCTTTCTGAGTCGAAGGATTACAAACATGCACCACCATGCTTAGCAACCTTAGAATATTCAGCACATTATTTTCAGTGGAGTAGTTGCTAATTGGATACATAGACTGCTGAATTTATTTTAATTTTGCTTTCTACATTTTGGGTTGGTTTTGTTTTATGAATGTATAAAATAATTAAATAGTTTTAAAGTTAGATCTATAAAATTCTGTCCTTTGATTCTTGCAAAGATATACTCCTAATTTCTGTTTGCTTCTTTAGAGTGTCCCTGTGCTACCCTTAAGGACAGACCACAGCCCTCTGAGTCCCTGGTGGGTGGGTCTTGATTATTGCTGTAAACAAGCTCTTATACTCTTACGTGTTGTTTTTCCTGACCTTTTATACTAGTATTCACATCCAGGACTATCCCAGTTAACTCAATAGCACTTTTGATGATTTTCTAAGACTTCACTTTAAATTAGCAGACTCTCATTTTGAGCTTTGTTAGTGTACCTAGCAAGTACCTAGCGAAGACTAGAGAGACATAAAAGAGGTGCTAGGAAGATGGATGTAGGGTGCATTTTTATCCCCAGCTACTTGAGAAGCTGATAGTAAAAGGGTGGCTTGAACCCACAAGATTTTGGAACAAACCTTGGCAATGTAGCAAGACTCCACATAAAGCATGTAGAGGAGAATCACTAGTGACAGGGTATTTGAGGCTGCAGAATTTCATAAAGGGAGATCTGTTGGGAATAACTTTGGAAAGGTTTGGATAGGTGTTAGTCACTGGTTAACATTTCGGTTGCTCTTTCAGCAACATCACTAAGGCAGTCTGTTTATATAGGGAAGCATTTGGTTCTTGGCTGCTTCAGAATCCTTTAGAAGAAGGATTTCTTCTGCACTGAAGATACTTCCCTTGCTTCTGTTCACTCCAGGCCTTAGAGTCTCTTGAAAAATCTGGTTGCTTCCCTGCAACTATGCCTGGTAAACAGTCTGGTGCAGTGGGAAGGCCCTGGCAGTACAAATGTTGCTGGTATGATTCTAATGCCCTGAGTCCTCTCCTTAACTACTTGGCCCAGCTTCCAAGCTTTTGCTGGGCCCTCCTTTTGACTTCAGTATTGGCTTTATAGTTATTGAGACATTAGTCTTTTGTGAATGTGACTCTGGGTGGGCTTGTATTCACCTCCTCATTTCTTGCCACTCTCCTGTTCAGTTTCAGGCAGGACATCCAACAGCCCAGCAACCAGTCACTGCTCAGTTCCCTGTGGTCTCCCAGGGAGGCTCTCAGCAACAGCTGATACAGAACATCTACCAGCAGCAACAGCAGCAGCAGCAGCAACAGCAGCAACTGATGACACAGCAGGCTGCTCTGCAGCAGAAGACTGCTGTGGTAGTACCACAGCCTCAGGCACAGCCAACCACAGCCCCACAGCCAGCTGCTGCTCAGGAGCCTGCGGTAAGAACCAGCAGGGTTGGCCCAAGACTTAAGAGAGTATGTAGAGAGCCAGGGGAAAGGGAAGGAAGAGGTAGCTGTAGACAGTTTCTGTTCTGCCCGATCGTGCAGCCATTTAGTCCCAAAGAAACACACAGAGGCTTATATTAATTATAAACTGTTTTGCCTGTTAGCTAAGGCTTATTATTAACTAGCTATTACAACTTAAGTTAACCCATAATTCTTGTATACATTTAGCCATGTGGCTTAGTACCTTTTTTCAGTGAGGCATTCTCATCTTGTTTCCTTTGTTAGTCTTCTGGTCTCCTTGCCTATACTTCCTGGCTGGCTACTGGCCAATCAGCATTTTACTAAGCCAATGTGAGTGACAAATCTTTACAGTGTACAAGAGCATTTCCCGTTTCTTTCTTTTCAAAACAAGAACTCTGAATCTAATCTCCTTCGTTTAGCTTTTTTCCTGACCTTTATCTATAACAACTTGTAACCAACATGCTAAACAAAGACAAACATCCACAATCCACTTTTTGGGAATGTGGGCATAGTTTTCCAGGGTACTTCCTGCTGATTGGGATGCTGATAATCTTATGGGGACCCAAAGAAAATTTAGGATTATGGTCAAGTCCTGTCTGGAGGGAGTATTCTGTGAGACTGGATCATCTCAGCCAGCAGTCTTGAAGCTGTTCTGGATGTAGAACTCAGAGAAAACTGCAAAAGAGGTCCGCTGAAATGTTGGATCATCTGGGTCATCTGTTCCCATTGGAAAATTTTTAGGGGAGTCTTCCTTGATCAAACCTTATTTTTCTTAACCCAGAATGAATCCACAGCCTCTCATTTCCTGTGGAAACAAAAACAAAACCTCATCTCCAAAGTAGCCTATCTTTTGACTTAAATTTTAGAGTTAAGGCATTTTCAAAATATATAGGTTGGATTAATCCAGCAGCATTTATAATCAAATGTCTTTTAGCAGCTGTTGTTCCTTCCTCAGCAGTCAAACAATTTAAAGACAACATAATAACATGCAATGTCAAGGTTCTCTGTATATTTTCAATCTTTACATGGAAACTAAGCTTGGGCAAACAGGACCTGAGTGCACTAGTTTTTTTCTCCTGAACCCAGGTGGCTACTTTTGAGTCCACTCTTAAAAAGTGGCTAAAAAGCCTGAGGCAAAGAGCTTTTTTGTAAATTTTTACCCCAAAAGTTGGGCGCCAACTGAAGTATGATTAATAAAAACTCAGAGACAGAAATTGGGGTTTAACCTCTCGAAGACCAGAAAAGCAAAGCAGCTAGTCACTGGCTCTTATTTTGATCTCGGTCCAAAAATGGTGATCCTGCCTCCAGGAATCCTCAGAATGAGACTGAGATTGAGAACTATCTCTTCCTGTTTTATAATCCTCTCTAGTTCTGGGATTAAGGGCGTGCATCACTACTCCTGGTTTCTGTGGCGAGCTATTGTGATTAAAGTTGTGTGTTATTGCTGCCAGGTCTATCAGGTTGTCTTACTTTTCTAGTCCTTAGGCAAACTTTACTTATTAAAATACAAATGAAATACTCTACACTTCCCTTCTCCTTCCCAGCATTCTCAATTTGATTTTCCTGCCTAACTTTATCCTGTTCAACTTATAGGCTAGTCAGCTCATTTATTAAATCAATCACAGTGACAAATCTTCACAGTATGCAAAGGGATTATTCCACAGCACCTTTGGGGTCCATTTTATTTCAATCCACCATGCCTGTATTGTGTACTCAGTTTTTTAATGACAGTAGTAGAAACTTCTGTTGTTACCAAAAGGCATTTTGAACAAATAGCCAATAGTGTTTGTATATCTAGCTATTCTCATTTTCAAGGCAGCCCAACAACTAAACTAATGAAGAGAAGTGAGAAACCATCTTTCTGGGGATTCATTTCTAGCAGAGAACTTGCAGCCCATTCTAAACCAGAAGACTTATTTATATTCCTTCAAAAGGAAACAGTGCTATAGGTAGATTGTGTTCTTTCTGTCTCTGCTGAGTGAGTAGTGCTCAGTGCTTTACCTGTTTGTTTCTGTAAAAAATTCAGTCTTTTACAGGAATATGGTAGACAGCCATTGTTTGTACTTTTGAGCTAAAATAAATTTCCCATTGATAATAGAAAGAGGTTTTAAAAATATTGCATGAAATAGCTAGAGGGGGTCTTAAGTATCTCATTTAATCTCCTCATTTTGTGGAATTAAAAACTGAGATCCAAACTAGAAAGTTACTGCCCAAGACATACAGAAGGATTGTACTAGAGCTGGGGCAAGGATCAGGAAGTCTGACTTGTGGTATCTCCTCAAGGGTGTTGAGATGACCCACTGGTACTGAAGATACTTCTTAAAAGGTTCTTCTCTGATTTTCTTAGACCAAGTGTCTACTGCCTTGGGAGTGAATCCTCGGCCTTCTCATGAGTCCTAGATGGGCCAACACTGAGCTCTGTGTTCTGTGTGGTGAGCACAGGGACACAAACTGAAATCTGTGCAGGCCTATGAAAAATGTCCACAAGGTAGTGTTGACACAGCTTCTTGCTCCTGCAGAAGACTCCACTTCAGTTCCCAGCACTCATGTTGGGCAACTAACACCTGTATGAAACTTAAACTCCAAAAAGGACTTCCTCAGGCACCTGAATTCATAGGAAGACTTGCACATGCATTTACACACACACACACACACACACACACACACACAATTAAAATACTTTTACAAAATGAAGTCTCTGACAAAATAGACATCAGACTCCACCCTCTTACTTTCTGTGGTGTACCCCTACCTCCTGCCCTTTTTAAAACCTTTTAACGTAGTGTATGTTTGAGACTGTATCTCATTCTGTAGTCTAGGGTTGCTTGGAACTTGCTGTGTAGCCCAGTTTGGCCTTGAATTCAGATATTACCTGTCTACACCTCCCAAACACAGATTAAAGGTACACTTTACTCACCATAGTTTCTGGACTCTTGTGCCCCTTTCTAATCCTGTCTTTGGAGGAAGAGACATTGTGATGTAGAAGATCCCCAGCCATAGTCAGCTTCTGTGGCCCAGTGGTTGACCTGTTAGCCTCAGTGGACTATAGATCCTCTTCTGTCTCTGAAGTTAAGGTTCTGGTATTTGTTCTACAGGGTCTGTTTCCATTTGTTTTCTTTGATTTCCAATGTCCATAAAACCTGCCCTGTGGGGTTGCTATCAGAAATCAACACACAGAATTAAATTATTTCATAGGCACTTTTACAGTGAAATAATTGTATATGAAATTTTACCTTTGGGCTGCCAAGTGCTCCGTGAAGTCAAGTGTAGAATTTTCTACATGTGGCATCATGTCAGTGCTCAAAATGTTGGTTTTTAGAGCCTTAAGGATTTCAGGTTTTCAGATTAGATCCACTCGTGCTGTCTTGGAAATGTGGCTCAGTGGTCCATTGCTCACCTGGGAATCCTCCCAGTGGAGGCATCCGTTATGTATGTTGCAACTGAAAGACAGGTAAGAAAAGAGACAGTGTTCTCTCAATAGTGCGGATGCTCCTTCACAGAGTCCATCATAACTGTGAAGTACCCTTTTGCAGTGAGATAAGCCAGTTCACAGCTGACCCTCGTGGATACTGACATTTAGAAGGCCTTTCTTATGTAGCTCTAGGCCCCCAAAGGAAGATGCACTGCTAGCACTTTGACCTTCACAGAGCTCCATGCTCCCTGGTGGGCTGTCACCCTTCCTGCCTTAGTTGGTTGGCAGTAGAACCTTATAGTTGTGCTCTCATTCATCTTGTTAATGGGGTGATTGGCATACAGACACAGGAAGATAGTGAGCCGCAAAAAGCATCCCAGCTCCCAGGGACAACATGAGGACACTCTCCTCTGCTGTAGGCATCCTGACCCATTGAACTTTTATGTCATGGTTTCTTAAATTCTGGATGTCTGTCTTCAGAGACACAATGTAGGAGCTGAGCTTCAGTGTGGAGAGGTAGCTTTCTCTTGAGTGGAGGGATTTGAGGGAAGGGACAGTTAAGTCCCTGAGGCACTCAGTATCCAGACTTTTTATTTCCAGATTGCTTGATACAGATGGCTTGTGCTAAGGACCACTTACATAGTCACAACTACATTGCCACCTGTTTATTGTTCTGTGAACCACTTCTCAAGAGTCCGTCTGTGAACCCAGCCATCATTAAGGCTTTTCTTCTGTCTCACTCTATTTTCCACTGATCTTCAGTGCCATGTCTCAAGGAAGATTGGAGCAAGTAAATCCCACTACACCAGTGCTGCACTTTTGATGTGGGGTTGAAACAGAAAAATAGGTTCTTGTGAATCCATCTCATCAGTGGAATGAAGGCCTTTAATAATATAAAACAAGAGCTACCGTGCTTCAGTCTCATGGCGATTGTTTGATTCACTTACTTAGTGTAGGAGGGAGTCCATAACTCTAAGCAGAAACTGTCGTGCTCCAAACCATCTTGGCTGGAGTATATCTTCTCTTCTAGCTGTAATAGAGAGTAGAATCTATTACCTGCCCCGTGGAAGCATTCTTGATGAGGTGCTATTTGTCCTCAGAAGTAGGAAGTCCTTTAAGATACCTGCTAGATCTTTAGGGCAGGGAATAGCATATGTAGTCTTAGGCTGGTAGCTCCATCACATCTGGTTAACTTGTATATTGAAGCTAATGGAAACTGGATGTGAATAAGAACCAGGCACTTCCTTGGTGATGTCTACCTCCATTGCAGCTCAGATGGTTGGTGCCTTGGTTTTCTTTCTGGTGCTGTTGATAACCTTGGCCATTCAAATCTTATGAGCGAATGAGTTTTTATTATACATGGTTATTAATTTGTTCTTCTTTCCTATTTCTTCCTCCTTTTTTCTTTTTTGTTTGTTCATAATGAAGCTTTGCATTTCTCTTTCTCTCGCAGATTCAAGCTCCACCAAGACAACAGCCAAAGGTTCAGACAACTCCGCCTCCAACTATCCAGGGTCAGAAAGTTGGATCTCTCACTCCTCCATCATCCCCTAAAACCCAGCGTGCTGGGCACAGGCGGATCCTCAGTGATGTAACCCACAGTGCAGTCTTTGGGGTTCCTGCCAGCAAATCAACCCAGCTGCTCCAGGCAGCTGCAGCTGAGGCCAGTCTCAATAAATCTAAGTACGTTTGTTCTTACCATGTGGGCAAGGTCTGCTCTGGGTCACTACTGTATGATTCTTTCCATAAGCTTGTGGAGGTGTGGTTGCATGCTTATGCCAGTGCATGGCTGTATTTAGTAAGAGACTATGAACTGGCCCACAGTGTGTGCATTGTACAGATACTGTCTTTTCAGTTTCCATTCTCCCATCTGTTCTATGCTCTGTAGAGTGTTTTCTAAACCCTTTGACCAAGTCTCTGTACTGACAATTTCTTATTGGACCCCCAAAATTTGGAGGGTGGCTACCTCAGCAAATATTGTCTACACAGGTGACTTGGCTCGTCTTTGGAGCTGCTGCTCCACCCTCCCATAGTGGATGTACTTGGCCTCCTTAGCTCCATGTCAAGCTTTGTTCTTCCCTCTCGTGAAGTATTTTGTCTAGGGATCTTTTTCTTTTAAGTGTACATCATATGTTTTATCATGAATTATTTTTGTGTCTGGCTAGCCTGGCTTATGAATTCCAAAGACAGAGACTTAGCCAACCTTCATGAACCTGGTTGGGTAGCTGGTTCTGTGCTTCACATAAAGTCAGTCTTGGTGTCCATTAAGTCCATCTAATTTTAGACCTTTAGCCTCCTTGAAACCATGCACTCTAAAGTTAAACATATTTAAGTCAAGAGAGACTGGAGGAAAAGCAGGTGATCAAGGCATACAAAGGTAGTGGTAACTCTACCCCTGGACAACATTCTGAACACGTGATGATAGCTTAGTGCTATCCGCACTAGATCCTGAAAGGTCAGAGGCAGCCATGATAGGCCTGGGATTCAGCCCCAGCAGGAGTTGCTTGTGCTTGATACATGGCCCTCAGGATAGTTGCTGTGGATCCTAAAGTGAGGGCTTTGCCAGGAACAGGCAAGCTGCAGGGTTTTATGAGAGCTTAAGAGAAAGAACAGCGTTTATAAATATAAAGACTAAACTTTTCAGTGTCTGTGGGAGGTCCTTTAGGGAAACACTGTGGAAAATGATGGTTTGATTGAGGAAAGAATAGGTACCTTAATGAGAGAAAATTGTTTGGACCTTTCTGCGTTTTTATATTTTCTTTTCCCTCACCCTTGGGGGAAACTTTCCCAGGTCTGCAACTACCACTCCCTCGGGCTCTCCACGGACCTCGCAACAGAATGTGTCCAATGCTTCTGAAGGTTCAACATGGAATCCTTTTGATGATGACAACTTCTCCAAACTCACAGCTGAAGAACTGCTTAACAAGGACTTTGCCAAGCTTGGGGAAGGTGAGCAAGCTGGGTCTTTCCTGTTCTTGGTTATAAGTCGGCTGAAAAGAAACTTGATTGTGTCTGTGTCTTAGCTGTAGAGGGATGTGCTTAGGAAAGGTCAGCATGGACCTGTCTTGAAAAGGATTGGTTTTGGGGTTTGCAAACCCTTAAATACAAGGCATGTTTCTATCCAAAATAGCCATAGGCAAATCCACAGATCCCTGGGAAATATCTCCAATGTGGAGTTGGAAGAAAAATACCCCTTGTGTACTCAGACTCAGCAAAAAACAAAAGAATGAGCAGAGTCAGTGAATGATATAAACTGATTTACATTACAGCAGTGCTTTAAAAAAACATACTTTCTATCATTTTATTTTATTTTGTTTTGAGACAATATATCACTATGTAGTCTGGTTGGTCTGGAACTTCCTATGTAGACCAGGGTAACCTTAAATTCACAAAGATCTACTTGCCCCTCTGCCTCTGAGTGCTGGGATTAAAATTGTGGACCATCATGCCTGGATGGTTCATCCTTTTCAATAGAAGATGGGGCATAGGGTTGATTTCCTTTGACAAGTCCTCTTCCTTGTTATCTCTGCCACTTCTTATTCTGTGCTGTAAACAGAATTTTTTTTTTGCTGCATTATTGAAAATTAGTATGTTTGTGTCTAATTAATGAGACATTGGGTTCTTTATGATTTTATTTATTTTTAAATTGTATAATGTGTGTGTCCATACATGGCTATATGCATGTAAGTACAGGTCCATAGAAGCCAGATACATCAGATCCCTTAGAGCTTGAGTTACGGGTAGCTGTGACCTGCCTGATATAGGTGCTGGGAATTGCACTTTGGTACTCTGGAAGCACAAGAATGGACTCTGAACTGATGAACCCTCTCCAGCCCTGCCCCCCAGAGGTTTTGTCTTGATATTTTTGAGCTCTCTTGTCTGTTTTTAGTTTTTGGTCTGTGTTGCTGTTGTTCTGCTGTCAGCTGTCATGTAGCCCTGCTGTTGACCTGTCTTTCATAGCCTCTCACCGCTTTCTTCCATGTCGCTCCGTCTCAGTTCCCAAGCTGCTGCCAGCACATCGGCACAGACAAGGACTTTTTGGTGTTTATTTGGTATGATGTTGCCATAAATGTGGTAGGAAAAGTCACATCAGAGAGTGTTCTTCACCTCACTATGTGTCTGTGCACCCCAGGATTCTTCAAGGATGAACCCAGTGGTATTTTGTCCCTCTAGGAAAGCTTCCTGAGAAGCTTGGTGGCTCAGCAGAGAGTTTGATCCCAGGTTTCCAGTCAACACAAGGAGATGCTTTTACCACTTCCTCATTTTCTGCTGGAACTGGTAAGTGTAACACATGCCTGAGACATGAGGATCACTGTTGTTTCCACTTCATAGATAGCTCTAGCATATGAAGAACCCAGTTTCTGGTAGTAAGTCATTACTTTCCTTCATTCAATAGTTGTCCAGCCAAAAGACAGTTAAGGACCACCAAAAATCACTTTGAATTCAGATGCTGGAGTGCTGTGGTAAATATACAGGATCTGCTCTCCCCGTTAAGTGTGTGTCTTATGTAGTTATTTCTAATCTAAGGACCAGTGCTCTGGCAAGATTTTGTTATTGCTTAAAGTCTTTGGGATTACTTGAAGGATTCTAAGACTTAGAAACTGTCTTATACTTGATAATCTATTATATGTACACATGCATTTTTAAAAACCAAATCAATAAGATTTGTTTTCTCCATTATTAATAAAAATTATCCATTCTTATTATATAAAAGTTATCTATTTGTGTAGAAACAATCCAAATCATCCATGATCTCATCACCTAGACACAGTGTAATGACTTCATCATGATGTATGTCTTGTCACTGTTCTGTTGCTTTGAAGAGAAACCATGACCAAGGCAGCTCTTCTTTAAAAAGGCATTTAGTTGGAGTCTTGCTAACAGTTTTATAGGGTTAGTCCATGATCATCATGGATGTAGACAAGCATGTTGCTGAAACAGTAGCTGAATGTTATATGCCCTGATTGGTAAGCAGTTGGTAGAGAAACACTGGGCCTGGCATGGGCTTTTGAAACTTCAAAGTCCATCACCAGTGACACAACTTCTCCAAAAAGACCACACCTCCTAATCCTTCCCAAACAGCTCCACTAAGTGGGTACTAAGCATTCGAGTATATGTGCCTATGGGGGTCGTTCTCATTCAAACCACCACAATATGAACACTGCATTTAACTTTTTTAGGGTCATAAACATCTTTGTGAATCTAATGAAATTTATAGATCTTCCTCACCAAAACACATGTGGTCACGATTTTGTACAATTTTAAGTTTTGGTTTAAGATTGTGATACTGTGATATCCATCTGTATATTTTAAAACCTGTTTGTTTCTTCACTTAATAAGTCTGGCATAGGCTAGTGAGGTGGCTCCATGGGTAAAGGCACTTACCACCAAGCCTGACCACCTGAATTTGAGCCTCAAAACCCACATGGTGGTGGGTGCCTCTTAAGCCCTTGCACCCTTTATACACTTTCTGTACTGGGTGGTTTTGGGTGTCAACTTGACACAAGCTATAGAGTCATAAAAGAAAGGAACCTCAGCTGTGAAGTGCCTCCTTGAGATCCAGCTGTAAGGCATTTTCTCATTTAGTGATCAGTGGGGGAGGGCTTTCTCATCTCAATTATACAGTCGAGATATTCCTCCACAGACATTTTCTGATACCCATCTCCTGGGTGATTTTAGATTATGGCAAGCTGACACTTAACTGTAACCATTACAGACCTTTGGAGGACATTCCAAATCCAAACTCTAGCAGGGTGTAAGGGAAAAAACAAATAGTTCAAGTCATAGTGTTGAATAGCATGGGCGATACTATCTGCTGGTACAGAAAGTGTGCTTGTTGCAGAAGCTGGGTACAGGGCTCACACTCTGCCTGCAGCAACTTCCTGTGAGTCTGTATAGTTTTCACTTTCCTTTGTTGTTATTGGGGTTTGTTCTCTCTCTCTCTCTCTCTCTCTCTCTCTCTCTCTCTCTCTCTCTCTCTCTCTCTCCCTTCCTCCCTTTCCCTCCCTCCCTCCCTCCCTCCTTTTCTTTCCCTCAAACTTGTGATCTTTCTACCTCAGCTTCTAGGATACTTAAGAGTACAGTGTACATCACCATACCTGACTTTCAAATAAAAAAAAAAATCACTTAGAAATCAAAATGGGATTTTAATTAACAGCCAAACTAGTACTAAAGTGAAATGTAAAGATTGTTAGAGTAGACGCCAAGAGACCCTGGTCTGATGCTTGCTTTGCAGGCAGACCTCTGACTTGTCTCAGTTTGAGCCTTTGTTTTCTTTGAAAAAAAAAATTGAGAAAAATAGTAGTAGAAACTTCCAGGACTTTAAAGGTTTAAAGCCCTGATGCTATAAGATACTTAATGTTTCTGGAACTAAAGTTTACCGAATACAGCATGAACAGCAATAGTATTAGGTAGGAGCACTGCACAGCACCTGTTAGACAGTGTAACAGTGCACTAAGACAGTTACTGCCTGGAGCACATGTGGGCTCTTGAAGTACACAGGAAATGGATAAACATATATTGACATTATGTGCCAAAGTGTGTAGGGGTGAGGGGCAGTAATTTCTAGAGACATTGAGCAGAGATTCCTGGGGTAGCGAACACTAAGAGAAAGCACACGGCTGTCCTACTCTGACCCCGCTGCCTTCATAGTGTGTTACAGGACCCCTTGGTGTGTCTTCTAGGTGTTTTGCTATTAGTTGGGTTATTTCAGTTCACCTCCTCCTTTTTGTCTAAATTTGGATTTTCTCTGTTATTTGAGCTCTTGTATAAGTAGATGGTAAATGCATTGATATTTACTTTATATTTTCTGCTTTTCTCATTTTTTTCTCTCCTAATTTTTCCTCTTCAACTAACTCCAGCTGAAAAAAGGAAGGGTGGGCAGGCTGTGGACTCTGGCATCCCACTTCTAAGTGTGTCTGATCCTTTCATTCCTCTTCAAGTACCTGATGCTCCAGGTAGGTACAAAGGACTCATTTTTAGGCTAGCAGCTTCAATCTTATATTCCAGGACCTCGAGGGCCCCTGGGGAGTTCAACTTTAAGCTCTTGATGACAAGGACCTGAGTTCTAAGTCCTAATAATGGGTTGCTTCAACAATGCTATACCTACTCCAACAAGGCCACACCTCCTAACAAAGCCTCTCACTCTAGGCCTTTGGGGACTGTTTTCATTCAAAACACCGTACTAAGATAAGCTATGATCTCTCTAAAAGTGGAAAATCTTCATATGAGTCATTTAATAGAGAACTTCAGGGTTTTGTTTTATGATTTGTTTGGCCAGTTTTATCTGCTAATAATGTAAAATGAATTCCTGAATCTTGAATACAATTAGAGGGGAATTTGGATTCCCCTCTACCATCACTCCCAACTCTCTCTTTAAGTCTTTCCTTTCTTTCAACAGATTAAACTCTTTTCCACCTTGGGGCCTTAGCACTTGCCAATATTCTATTAACCCCTGGAAATTTCTCCTCTTATATGCCATCTTGTCAGAAGGGCCCTCTGTGGTCTCAGAGGTGCTCTCAATCATACCTCGTGGCTTTTATCCTCATGACACTTGTTAAAATGTCTGGTGTTTTTTGTTCATGGTCTGTTTGCTTCAGTGGCAGTACTGTCTTGCATAGTAGCACTCTAAATATTTGGTAAGTCGGATGCATGGATGAAATAAACTTGAGACTGTCAGCCTCCCACCTCCTAGACACTAGATTGATGTTCACTGCCTGCCATACCCTGGTGAGAGAAATGGTGAGGCTCAGTAGACCACCAGCTCCATCCTCCATGCCCTCTAGTAGCTCATCTATTTACCTCATTCTTCATCAAGGTCCTGCTTCAGCAAGTGAAGTGTGCAGTGTGCTAAGAGCTCATGTTCATTGTCTGGCATCTGATGAAACTGCAGGTGCTCATTGGTGGCTACACCTCCAGCCCACTTTAGACACCAGTCAGTGGTCCCCATGGAAAGAATCTAGGAATCTTAGTGGATAGAAGCCATGCCTTTCAAGTGATTTTTCTCTTAAAGATTTCAACATGTAATCTGTAATCCTCTTGATTCTACAGATCTTCTGAGTGGTGTGTGGTAGTGATGTCAAGTCCCTACCTATGAGGCAACAAATGAGACCTTCCTCTTCCTTGCCAGATTCCCCAAGTTGTAGGCATTGCTTTTGTCATTGGGTTTTGTAACTTGAGATCAATAAAGTCTTGACTGAAGATGTCAGTTAGGGGGTTATAAAAGTGGATTTGAGCTTAAAAACCTGTGTTATCCCATGGCCATGTAGAAGACTGTGATCTGATCACTTGAATTCAGTGCTCATATCTTGAAAATTTGAAAACACTTTCCTGTGGAGAGAGGAAGGAATGTATAGTAAAACTGTATTTGGAATTGCCGTGTAACTTTAACTTACTGCAAAGACCTCAATTCTATGTCTGTATTCCCAGCTGGGCAAGCTTGCTTATGAAGTCATATTTTTCTCTTGCTTGCTTGCTTTTGTAACTTTTAACTTTCCATCAACTGAGAGCTACTGAAATAGTCTTCCTGGATAAGAAATTGTCAGGCTGTGGTTGAAAGGGCATTAGAGAATTGTGGTTTGCTTGTAGGACTTTTTTTTAATTATTATTTTCCAAGGTACGTGTCATAGTTAGGATTTCTGTTGCTTTGAAGAGACACCATGACCATAGCAACTCTTGTAAAGGAAAACATTTAATTGTGGTGGCTCACTTACAGTTCAGAGGTTTAATCCATTATCATCTGGTGGGAAGCAAGGCAGCGTGAAGGCAGACCTGGTGCTAGACAGGAGCTGAGGTTCTTACATTTTGACTCACAGGCAACAGGAAGTGGTCTGAGGCACTGGGCGACTTGAGCATATATGAGACCTCAAAGCCCACCTTCTCTAACAAGGCCATATCTTCTCCAACAAAGCCACACCTCCTAATAGTGCCTTTGGGTGCTGTTTTCTTTCAGACTACCACAGCACCAACCATAAAACAAGTCTGGAATATTTTTTCCTGAAAAATAGGCGAACAGATTTTTGTTTTTCCATTACTTTACTTTTAAATGTAGGTAAAAATTTCCAGCTATTTAGTGCATAGCTCATTAAGTGGCATTAAGCACATGTACAATTTTTTTGACTGTTTTCTCACATTCTTTTTCTACTGAAAGACTGGGCACCTGTGTCTGCTCAGCAGTGATTTATTTCCCCATGCAGCACACTACACTGCTTTCTAGCTATGGGTTTGACAGCTCTAAGAGCTCCATAGAAAGAGAATCCTGCAGTACTTGAATTTTTTTTTTTTTTTTTTGATTTTTTGAGACAGGGTTTCTCTGTAGTTTTTGGTTCCTGTCCTGGAACTAGCTCTTCTAGACCAGGCTGGCCTCGAACTCACAGAGATCCTCCTGCCTATGCCTCCCGAGTGCTGGGATTAAAGGCAAGCGCCACTACTGCCCGGCAGTACTTGAATTTTATGGCTTACCTTTAACTTTGCACAATCACAGTTCAATTGTGTTGTATATATATTGTTGTTGTTGTTTGTTTGTTCAAGACAGGGCCTCTTGTATAGCCGTGGCTGTCCCAGAACTTATCCTGGAACTTTATAGACCAGGCTGGCCTTGAATTTAGAGATCCGCCTGCCTCTGCCTCCCAAGTGCTGGGATTAAAGGTGTGCACCACACGCTCAGCTAATTTTCTTCCTTTTAAGGTTAGTATTACCCTGTGTGGAAGACCATATGCTGCTTGTCCAGTTTTCATTTGATGCGCAGTTGGGCTGCTTCCCTCTGAATGATGCTGCTGTGAACATAGTACAGGTCTCCTTATGTGATCGTGCTTTATTCTTTTGCCAGGTCATATGATAATTCTATTTTAAGTTTAGAGAAAGTGTTACACTGGCTTTCAGAAAGACTTCATGCCATTCTTTTTTATATACTTTCCTGCCATGCACAAGGGTTTGGAAAAACAGTTCTGACAGTTGCTCTTTAGTTCTGAGCTCTTGATACTAGAGCTCTACAAGACTAGAAGAGCACACATTAGCTGCCCCACAAGTGCTACTTCATAGAGCTGGAGGACTGTTGAAAGTCATTCTTGGTCTTATGGTCCTCTATTGTCTCTTGAACAAGACAGGCAAGAGGAGCTGGGTGTCAGAATGAACAGTCCCCTCTTCTTTTGGCCTGACATCTTCTTTATTTCCAATTCCTGCCTTGTGATATTGAAAAGCTTAGTGTCACTCATTGTAAGTGCCTTATTTTAGAAACTGTCTTCCTACAGTTGTAATTCTCTAAAGTGGATTGAGAATGGGGCATGGTGCTTGCCCTGATTCTGACTTGATGATATTACAGGCAGTTTGCTGTCTGTTTTTTCAAGAACTACTTAGAGAGGTTAGATTTTATTTTCTCTTTTTATTTTAGGTGGTTTTTTTTTGAGACATTTCTGTAACCCAAGCTGGTTTTTTTGATCCTACTCCCTCTACTCCCCAAGTACTGAGCCCAAGGCATGCATCACCATGTCTGACTCTATTTTTAGTCTTAATTGGTGGATAATAATCACATTTATCGACTTGGTTCAGCATGACATTTCAGTTCATTTATACAGTGTGTAATGATTGCATCAGGGTAATTGGTGTTTCTTTCATTCCATAGAGTGACTAAAATTTAAAAACAGCATTTCTCATTTTAAGTTTTACTTGTTTGCTCCATGTCCAACAAGTCACACATTTCAAAAGCCACAAAACTGTAGTTACTTTCTTGTTGCTGTGATAAAACATTATGACCAAGACATTGTATAAAAGAAAGATTATTTTGGGCTTACAGTTTCAGAGAGTCAAAGTCCATCTCTATTAAGTCAAGGAAGCGTGGCAGCAAGCAGGCATGACAACTAGAACTAGACACTGAAAACTGGAGACTCACATCTCAAACCACTGATGGGAAGCAGAGAGAGCAAATGGCAAGTCTTTTGAAACCTCCAAGACCATCCCCAGTGACATCCTTCCTCCAGCAAGACCACCCTTCCTAAGCATACCCAAGCAGCTACCAGTTGGGGACCAAGTATGCAAATATTGGGGCTTATAGGAGACAACTCAATCAAACTGCTCATTATAGCAGCCACATCATTTTTTAAAAACTGAGATTCATAATAAACTGTCTTTTGAGCATGTTTGGTAGATTGGTGTGTTCTGATCTTCAGGTTTATATTGAAACAGTCAAAATCTTCATTTGATACAGAGTCTCACGTGTAGTCCTGCCTGCTGGCCTGGAGCTCTTTAAAACCACACTTGCCTTAAATTGGCAGTGTCCCTGCCTCTACCTCCCAAGTGCTAGGGTCATGGAAGTGACTACCACACCAGCTGTCTTAGTTAGGGTTTCTGTGTCTGTGAAGAGACACCATTGTTACGGCGTAAATGAACGGCAGATAGAAATTATAATAAATATTCAGCTTTAATAAGGAAAAGACTTACAGAACTGAGGTTCCTGCGGAGAACAGGAAAGTAGAAGGGAAGACGGGGAGCACACCTGCAATATTTATTAGTAAAAAAATAACCTTAGGGGACCCCGCCCTTCAAGCAAGGTGATTGGCTGGTCTTCCCCTACACACCATGACCACAGCAACTTTTATATAGGAAAACATTCAGTGGAGGCTGGCTTACAATTTCAGAGGTTTGGTATAGTATTATCGTGATGGGAAATGTGATATCATACAGGCAGACATGGTTATGGAGAAGGAGCTGATAGTTCTACATCTTGATCTGCAGGCGGCAGCAGGAGTCTATATACCACTCTGAATATCTATTGAGCATAGGAGACCTCAAAGACCTTGATCCACAGTGACACAATTCCTTCAACAAGACCACACCCACTCCAATAAAGTCACACCTCTTAATAGTTTCTTTCCTTATGGGACTATTTTCTTTCAAACCATCATACCACTTTCCTTTGATTTTTTTTCTTTAAAGGAAAATATCACAAATTATAAAATATCCC